TATGGTTTCTGAAAATTAAATGTGAATCGCTTAATCAGGATTTTGGGAGGGATTGGACGAAATGGAACCACCTATGTATAACAGGTGGTTCCAGTTGATTAGTTCTAGATCAAATATTTTGGCCTTGAGCAAGTTTAATATGGCTGTCTATAGGGAAACTAAGAATTCCTTCAAGAGTTCATTAAGTTATTTTTCCAATTTCTACTAATAAAATGCTGATTTTGTATCTTAAATCTCGCTATTAAAACAATAGTTTAATCGAAAGGATGAATAAAATGTTGATAGCAACACTTTATTCACAATTGTTATTGACAACACGAATAAAGTAAAAAAAAAACAAACTAAAAATTCGCACTACCACTGAAATTTTCGTTGCTATGGATGTGTAAACATTATTCAACTAAAATTTGCAGCGCTTGATGGTCCACCTCCTGTAAAAAAATCCTAATGAAAGGCCAGGAACATTCTTTGAATTTGACCATGACGAAAGTACAGGCAGCTTAGGCAATTTACCTTCTTCAAATGTTTATCATATTAGTAATAATACAATTAATATTTACGTAAATGGATTACCTAAGCAATTTTTTTTTTTTTATTAAATTTTGCGAAATTGGAAAAAATCTTGTATGATACACGTGAATAAACGAATTTTATCCACTCGAAAACTGTTTTTTCGTTGGATAAAATTCGTTTTTATTCAATTATATCATAAATAGCTATTGTAAACTTAAAAGTCGCTCCTGACAAATTTGGAAAAGCAGTTTGGAATCCTAATCAAACAGGTGTTATACGAACTACAATATCAATTTTAGACCTGCAAAACTTGTTTTTGAATGAAAAAAATACTCATATTTATTAACATCGAGATTTTCTCAAGATTGTTTAGAAAATGTATTTTCCCAAATTCGGTCAAGACATCCGGTCCCAAAGGCCATTCAATTTAAATATGACTTAAAACTTTTATCAGTTTCTCAATATTTGGACGTTTGAAATAACTCAAGTTACGAAACCGACAAAACAACATCTTTAGTTGGTTTTTGAATTATATTAAAAATAATATCAGAGAAGAAAACGATGTTCCTAACGGAAAAGAAAATTTAGCTTTACCTAGAAATTGGAGCTGAGAAGAACGAAAAATGATCTAATATATTTACATAATTTGATTTCTGGTGAAATAGATTATTCATCACTTTTGGAAAAGTTCAAGTTACGTTGTCTTTTAAGATCTACGCGTAACTGTCCCGTATTTAAGGGGGATTTTCATAAAACTAATTACGGTTTTTTTTCTTCTATTGCTAGATTGTCAAGATTGGCAGATACATATAATAATGAAGTGGAATTGTTTGGGACATCAAGAAATCGTTTTAAAAGCCAACTGAAAACTTCTAAGCTGTTGTAATATTATATTATTTTAATTTTTATTTAATTTTCTTAATAATTTCTTTCATTTTTCTCTTTTTTTTTAATTCTTATTTATATTCTTTATATTTAAATGTAATAATTTCTTAGCACTCATTCGATAAATACTTTATTTGTATATGTATAGGCGGTATCCCATGAAGTAAATAAATTAAATTGAATTAAATTGGAATTTGAAGAAAAAAGAACTTTCTTTGAGAGAAAGAAATTATGCTTTGTATGGTTGCACAAAAGCTTGAAAAAAAAATCAAAATTTTTGCAAAAAATTTATTGTTGCTTTGGTCTCTACGAAGAATTGTAATGAAAATTATGCAAAATTTGTGGCATTAAAAGAATATAATAAAACTGGCGCATTACATTACGCCTCAGAGAACGCGTTCTAAATAGCAATTTTAGTAGAGCAAATATTTTATAATTTGAGAGATTATTTAAAGAATAATAATTTTTGCACTGGTAATGTTTTGGAAGTCATGAAGAAAGAAATCAGGAAAAATTCAACTTATCGCTCAATACAAATTCCAACATGCTGCAACAGTAAAACAAAATTTACTGCAAGAATGATTTACCGTCTGAAAATCTATACCAGAAAAGCTAAAGAAGAAATAAGAAAAAAACAAAGAATAAAATGGTCCAGCAAAAGCCATTCAATGAGGGATTTGGTTGAAAATGCAAATCAAAAATTAAAAAAAAATAATAATAATAAAGAGCAACAGTTTCGTTGTCCAAAATTTCTTGAGTTGATCCAACAATAAGGATCGATTGTTATGAAATTTGGTTGGTAAAACGCAAACCAAAATTTATGTAAACATCCCCATCAATAATAATTTGATAACGTCATCTCAAATTTGCACCAAGTAAGTTCTACTTAAAATCCACTCCTATATACTAACTTTATACATGTAGGGATTGTACAACAAAATTTTACAGATTAAATTAAAACATAAAAACCCTTGCCATCAGTTCAAAATTTTGTTAAATACTATTATCTGTTTAATATATAGGTGGCCCCAGATAAAATTTCACGCCCGTATATCTAGAGAACGGATAGAAATATTAAGATTCTGTAAACGCCATTGCTTTTAGCTTAAAGACGCATATACTGTGTCAGTGTCGCGAGGCAAATTTGTATTTTTTAAATTACGATTATAATGATATAGAACACTTAGCTGTTTATTTCAATTTGAGTTGATAAAAAAATAATATTTATAAATATAAAATACACTGCAATACAAGACTACCGCTTTATTTTACAAAAATTTTGTATCAAAGTGTTTCAAAGATACAGTAATCCAAGCATATATTCGAGCTGTCGTCCTTCACACTGAACACAAAATTTCCAATTAGTTCACATCTTGTCGCGGTTAATAGAGTTATCACGAGTTAAAAAATCATAAATAATCACTACAAAAGGAGATTTTCAGTCCTATCGCGATCATTCCAAGCTTTGCGAAGTTATTTCAACTAAAATGCTATCCACCGCCGCTTATTAGCATATTAAGCCATATACTCATATCAGACTATCAGCATGGTTTTCTTAAAGGCAAGAGTTTACTCAGTTTGTGTCAAACGTGTTGATGTGATGTACAGCGATCTTTCTAAAGCGTTTGACACCGCTGACCATTGCATTCTGTTAAATAAATTAAGTCACTCCAGGGCAAAAAAAAAACAATTTGTGGTATACCAAAGATATGTGTATGATTGTACGTCAGGCGTTTGCCATTGATCTAATCTAGGCCCGTTGTTCTGTTAATCCAATAGTGTCTTTTCAAAGTTTTTGGTTTAACTATGGATTCACTTTATCATTTATCCCGTATTATATGTCCATCTATAAACGAACAACCTTTCAAAGGGTTATGAATAATATACTAAGACGTCTCCAAAACGAAACCTAGACGATATTATTGTGTTTTCCACACCGTAGAATGGTAGAAGTTGTCAAGAATCTCTCAATTCCTAAAACCCAAGGGGAAATCAAATCATTTTTAGATTTGACCAGTTATTATAGAAAATTTATACCAGATTTTGCCAAGATTACAAAACCTTTAACTTTCTGTTTAAAAGAGAATTCTAAAGTTGGACACACCCCACAATTGTTACAATTTTTCAATCATCTTAAGGACCTTTTAATAAATGCCTACCTTTTAAAATATCTCGATTTTTCGAAACCATTAGTTTTCACTATTGACGCCCCGAACTTAACCTTAGCCGTCTCAAGGAACGCCACCAAAGGATGATCCAATTGCATATTGTTCGCGCACCCTTAACCACAGCGAACGAAATTATTCAACCATAGAAAAGGAACTTTCCGATATTGCATGGGCTTGTAAATATTTCGGACCGTACCTTTTCAGTAGAAAATTTTAGATATATACCGACCATAGACCACTAGTTTGTTTCTTAAATTTAAAGGACCCCAATTCTAAACTAATGCATTGAAAGCTCAAACTATAGGAATATAATTAATTATTCAATATCACATCATGTATAAAAGAAGAAAACAAAATTCAAACGCAGATGCTGTATCGTGTATTCAACTAAACGCCGTAGAATCAGATTCAGTTATTAATAGTCCTGGCAATTTTGACCATGATATCAGAAAGTTTTCAAAACACGATGTTGACTCTAATAACTTAAATGCAGAGAGGATGTAGACGAAACCCTCAGAACTCTCAATCGTTTTCTTCATCAACACATTCTAATCCTTAAAATTCTCAACCAAATCTTGATGAAATTTCAGGTACAGTTCATAGTAGAAATATGCCAGATACTTTAAGCGATATACTAATTTTTGACGAGATTACTAACATTAAACCTAAGCTAATAGTAAAAAAATCTTCCAAGGACGCTCTTGGTTCGAAGACCCAGGCCATTTGACGCCCCACTACGTGTTTTCTTGTGTTGAAGCCGGAAGAAAGAAGCCCCAGCAGCCGCCGCTACAACGCCCACGCCGAGCACATAAGACTATGACTTATTTTTTGTCCTTCTGGTTGCACTTGGCAAAGCTCCTTTTTATCTTCGAAAACCATTTAATTTCGTGTCATCATTTCGTTGTTACTTTTATTTTTTTTATTGTTGTTGCGAAATAAAATGTATAGCAGGGTGAAAGAATTTCATTGTTAATTTAGCTTATGCACTAGTAACTGAATAAACCTTTTTCTTATATTGTATCAAATTTTACTCCCACGGAAACTTACTCCGCAGCTGTCGTAGCCTCATTTTTTTCACACGACTAATTGCTGAAATTCCGAAAATTGTTGTGGAAAAATGTAAGGTCCTTACATGTACCAGATCCCCCTACAGGGTAGTGAAAGTACTGTCTAAACTCTTTAGATCACTTTTATGAAGAATGCCTTCCTTTTTATTTAGGGCTGCCAAACGAAGTCAGAAACATCGAAAGAGTCTATATATGGAGATAAAGCGTGTCTACTCATTGGAGAAAGCATGAAATTAACAATTCGTCAAATAGACCTGGAATGTATAAAGTCTCGGAGAAGTCCCTAAACCGAAGACGTCCCGAAGCTTATCTATTAGAAGGAAAGTATGTTTTGGGGGTAAATGATCTATATTATAAGATACTCACGATTTTCCTAGAATTTTATTTAATCTCTACATTGACACAGCATATGACAACACGTTTTTAACCGTGAAATCCATAACAATTACGCTTAATAGGATACAGCCATTTATTTCGACTCAAGTCGTCACGACAGTAGAAATTCCTTGGACGATTTTTAAGAATCTCTCGAAATGCTGCAACGAATTTTGCAATTTCAGTCTCCCTAGAGCTGTAGTCACCATCAACGACATAAGAAACACAAATAGGCAAAGTTTCATTAGAAGGTAGTTCAAAAGAACAATCACTTTCACGGACAGACAGGTTCTTTTTAATTTCATGCCACACGTTGCACTTCCAAGGATTTCCATACAAAACAAACGTCTGAGTTTGGAGGGAAAGATTCTCAAGTTCTAAGTTGCTGAGACGATTCAGAGCTAACGAAACTGTAAGCGATGGTTGCTTTCCGGGAGTGCTGAGTAGCTGCAAAACGTCACTTTGGTGAATGTTGTTGTCGGATAAATCGATTAGTTTCAAATTATCCATTTTTTCAAACGTGCCGCGTTCCAGTGTACTGATCGAGTTGAAAGATATATCGAAAACTACTAACTGTTCTAAATGCTTGATCGGTGGTAAAGAATTGAATTTGTTGTGGCTCAGAGTCAATTCTGTAAGGTTCTTTACATTTTTTAAAACTTCAGGTGGAATATATCTTAGTTGATTTCCAGCCAAGTTGAGATTCTTCAAGCCTTTAGGAAAACCATCAGCTTCGATGTGCGCCAACTTATTGTTTCTAATGCTCACAGACGTACTCTCGCTAGGTAGAGAATCATTTTCTATTACTTCTAATAAATTTTCAGATAAATCAATCTCTTCAATTTGATGATAGAACGCGTAAGGTTTCACTGATTCAATTCCGTTGTTAACCAAACTAAATAATTTTAGTGCAATTCTAGGTAATTGATCCTTCTCAATCACTTTTAACTTGTTGGCATACAACGTGAAATATTTCAGGGAAGATTCATGATAATCACATTTCCATGAACGTTGTGGCTTTAACTGGTTGATTGATCGAACGATAATAACCGTTGTCAATCTGTAGAAAGAATAGTAGTCAAGGTCTTCTATCAGACTAACAGGGGATGGTTCTACGTCACCATGTTCCGAGCCTATAATTAACGTTCTCATGTTCTCTATATCTTCGTATTTTTTTAAGTCTTCGAAATGGTCGCACTTTGTCACGTAAGATTGTCTGCATGCACACCAAATCACACCAAAAAACGTGGCGAATATAAAGCCCACAAGAAAAACTCTGTTAACCATCGTACTGCAGTATCCGAAGCTCGAGTAGAACTAAATTTTCATACACATATCGGTTGCTCCTTTACAAGAATGTGACGGTGGCTTGTTGTCTTCTTTCAACTGCTAACCAGTTTTCGGTCAGGGTCAGCAATGGATATTAATAATTTCAGTTTATCAAGCTATGCAGGGTTATCTACTCACAAGAAGCTTCACGCCTAAGAAATCAATTTGAAAACCATTTTCGATATTTCGTATCATTTAAAAAAAACATAGTTATCTGTTTCGTATTATAATAACATTGAAGTAGTGTCAGATACGATACAGTGTGTTCAACGTCAAAAAGATATGATTCTAATATATGGTTCACAGTTGAGTAGAGAATATTATTCATAATACAGAAGATGCCTGACGACCTTTTTTTTTAATTTGTTTGTTTTTTATTTTAACCTAACAATTGCGGGTTATTTTCAAATTATCAAAACCAAACAGCTAACTGTGTTTAACTTAAAAGAGAAATGATGGTAAATATCAAAGATTACCATGAAATTGTACTGTTGGTTGCATTTTGAATTTTTCAGGCGCGGAGTTTCATGTAAATACTGTATAACCTGTATATTAAAGAAAACTATTTGCTAGAACTACTAATGAGCGAGTCCGGAAATTTTCTCAATTTAAATTACAAAATATTTTAAATTTAAAATTTGAATGTTGCTCACTTTTTTACCTAAAATATCAATACTTTTATTTGTTTACAACAGTATGAGGTAAGAATATTTAAATACATCTGAAAGCCGGATCTGTTGGCCTTTGACGCATGCACAATTGAGTTAATGCAACACCTGATGCCTCTCTACACCACACTATTATTAAGTGTTAAAAACAACATTACTGCCATATAAATTTAGAAGATCTGGATAACTATATATCGCCATAGGAGCAAAAGTATTACATTTTCGACAAAAAAAAATCGACAATCTTTGGAATACGATTTATAGAGTTGTGTAAGCTGAAAACGGTGGTGAAAACCGCGTTCCGAAAGTACATTAAATAATTGAGATATTGACTTTTAAAAATACGTAATTAAAATTTCACTGAAATTTTAAAATGAAGATAATAAACTGCAAAAAAAAACGGCCTTTGTGTTGTACAGGGTGTCTGGAAAATAGCGGTTTAACTCTTCAGTACATTATGTACGGAGATTTCGGGAGTCCCAAAAAAATAATAAAAAAATCCTTTATGATGTAGATTACGCAAAAAACATAATTTAATAAAAGTAAAATTGGTATCATGAAAGATCGAGAAAACGTAAAAGTAGAGAGTCGGCCGACGGACTCGATTACAATACTTCCTTTGCTTACGCTCGGGAAGTAAAAAAGGCCATTCGATTACTATATCTCATTTGTGTTTTAAAAATGTTGGCATCTTTCTAATGGTATACATAGGGGTTATCGTAAAAAATATAAAATTTTCAAAAGCAAATTTTGTAGTTGATATTAAAATCTACGCAAAAAAATTGGTCGAAAGTTATTTCGACAGAACTTCCCTCGCTTCTGGTTTCACTTTCTTTAATAAAGTGACTGACTCATTTTTTTTTTGTCACACTGTATAAGCAAATCTAAAAAATATGAATGCAATGATAAGTTACAAGTATAGTCTGATGATATTCTGCACATTTTCGAAAAAATTTATTCGGCAAAATTTTGAGATGACGTAATCAAAATTTTGGGATTGATAAACAGATAGATTTTGATAAAAAACTTAACGTGCTTACAATAACTTCACAACATCAAGATTTCAAAGTACATATTCAGTTTTGCAATTCTTGATTTAATCAATAAAATAAATTGACTCAGTTATTATTTTTTTCCAGACACCCCGTATAAGCAAATCTAAAAAATATTAATGCAATGTTAGATCACAAGTATACACTCAGCATACTTTGTACGTTCAGCAAAATTTTGGGGCGACGTTATCGAATTTTCAGGGTGGATGAGCAAATACATTTTGATTAAAAATTTATCATGCCTATGATAACTTTAAAACATGTCTAAGATTTTATAGCATTCGATTTTGTAGTTCCTGATTAAATAATAAAATAAATTTGCGCATTCATTAATTTTTTTTGAGTCAGCCTGTATATACAAATCCAAAAAATATGAATGAAATGATAAATCACAAGTCCAGGCTCATCATATTTTGTACATTTTAGTTTGGATTTATTCGGCAAACTTCATCAATTTTTGATATTGATTAAAAATATATCATTATTATCATAACTGTAAACCATCTGCAAGATTTCAAAGCATTCGATTTTGCAGATTCCAAATTAGTTAAATTGCAAAATGTTGTTACAAAATTTTGATTGATTTTCCAAAAATCTGGACTTTTCGGGTAAAAATTCTATTCCGAGTCATAAACTACATGTGTAGGACTATGTTACTATATGTATACATTTTAAAACCCATTTTACTATGTACAATTCTGAAGTGTCGTCATCACATTAGTGATGGAGATGATTAGACAAATTTTGGTTAGCGTTTTACCAACTACATGATATTCCTAATAAATATAAATACAAAATTTGACAACAATCGACTCAGTACTTTCGGAGATTATCTGTCTAATAAAAATCCGGGACGGCAGACAGACGGACAGCCAGCCAGCCAGCCAGCCAGCCAGCCAGCCAGACAGACAGACAGACAGACAGACAGACAGACAGACAGACAGACAGACGGACAGACAGACAGACAGACGGACAGACAGACGGATAGATAGACGGAAACGGGAGATCTATTTCTTCGTACTCTAGGGGTCACAAAATGTCGAGAAAACGTAAAAGTAGAGAGTCGGCCGACGGACTCGATTACAATACTTCATTTGTTTACGCTCGGGAAGTAAAAACTAAAAAAAAAACCTCTGATTATTGCCATCAAAATTTGATGAAGTCATCTCACAATATAATACGTAATTTTACAACGTGCAAAACAATAGGCTATTAGTTATTTTTCGAGATCTGCTTAATTTAACTTTATGTATCTATGCTTTTGGAAAAAAATCAGAATTGGACCCAAAATTTTAGTATCTATCTATCTTAGGAATTACAAAACGATTTTAAGGACATAGTTAAAACATGGTAAATCGCAAATCGTGGTTCATCCCTTCTAATTCTGTTAAGTAAAAGTAAATTTATTCATTACCCCCTTCATAAAATAATGACGTAATTGCAATAATGAATTAAATAAATATTTGATACAAAATGTGCTTAAAGATGCAAAACTATTCATTCCTTAATTACAATTTTTACAAATATTTATTTATACAGGACGTTAAAAATTATAAATGCATCAAATAATTCTTGTTTTTTAAGTCAAAAATAGTTTATTTCATTTTGTCAAAATTGTGAGAATACAGTGCTGAAATTAACAGTGTAGTATACGCATCAAAATTAATAGATTTATTACCACTGGAAAGTTGATGACGCTTTTTGAAAAGTTTATTAAGAAAGTTCTTCTTCTTCTAAAAATGTTTAGTCGAAAAAATCCGTATCAGAATAAACTTTGAGGTGCACTGAGTCACGTCATGAGGGCGACGATAGTACCGCCTAAATTCTTAAAATCAATTTTTACTTCCCGAGCGTAAGGTAATCTGGTCCATCGGACGAATTGTCACTTTTATATTTTTTCGACGCTTCATGACCCTCACAGTACGCAAAAAGTAGTCTCCCGGTTCTGTTTGTCTGGGGTCTGTATTCATTTTAATTAGACATGTAATCTTCGAAACTGCTGGACCGATTGTTGTCAAATTCTTTATGGATATTAGAACTATCATGTAGATGGTTAAAAATAATGCTAACCAAAATTTGGTTAATCATCCCCACCAACAATTTGATAACGTCATTTAAATGAATGGTATTTTAAAATGATTTTAATGTTACACAACAATATCCTCATATACTTGTAGTGTAGAATCCACTTTGTGTTTTTCCCTAACCGCCCAAATTTTCGAAAAAACATAATGCACGGTGTAATAATAATTTACCATTAGCGTAAGACATCTCGATCCTAGTCTAGTCGACAAGAGTGCGGAATTTGAATCAGAGGTCCCGGGTTCGATTACCCAACTTGTCTTTTCGATTTTTTTTCTGTTTTTCTCTCGCATTGTGTATTATGTTTATGACGTCATAACAAACTTTTTAATTGGTCAAATTAATTTTCTCGAAAATGTAAAAATACGTACGTCTTATATGTATTATAATGATAAAATAGGAATTATAATATTGAGAACATTTTGTTCGATTGTGATTTAATTAATAATTTTAGCCCTCTGTCGTGAGAAGACAATCTCTTTCAAATCAAACTAATTGCTACGAGACATTCTTTCGATGTATAAGCATAAATACACACTTGAGCTTCAGATTGCTATTACCCAGTGATGAAGGACATTTTATACCGTTAGTTAAGTGCTTTAAGTATATTTTACATTGTCCGTACGGTGTACGGGCTGCGGGGGTGTTATTTATGCCGCTGGTTTTTATTTTACAGAAGTTATTTCAAAACGAAAATCGTAAAATCTAATTTTATAACTTTTTTAAACATCTGGGTTTGTCTGATTATATTTACTTCAAGGGCGAGGGAAGTTCTGTCGAAACAGACTTCGATCACTTTTTAAATTTAGGAAAAATTACTTAGAACTTCAACTTTATATGTATCTCACCCATTTGAATACAAAATATTTATATTACCAAAACGAGAAACATCGTTGGACGTGGAGGCATCAATGTTGATGTCTTACAAAGATTTTAAAAACAGTTCTTGTCTCTTGTAGTTAACAACACATATATTATACTAATAAATCATAGACGTAGGTAATAAAATTTTGAAACAAGGTTATCAAACTTTTTGGTGGAGATGAATTTTGGTTAGCAATTTATGAACTTATTTTGGCATCTTCTAATGATCGAGTGGAGGAGCTTTAACATATATCAAAAATTCTATAATAATGATAATCAGTGCAGTGATTTAGACGACTTTCTATCTAACAAAATCACCAACAGAGAGACGGGAAACGGGGCCGACATTTTTGTATGACAAAGCTGTAAAATGTCGAGACAACATGAATTT